CGGTCGGAAAAAAACATTTATTTTGTCATCCAGTTTAGATTCTAAAGGCAAAAAAAATACAGCCCGAAGATGAATGCGTGAAGCACTCGAAAGTACTAGATGAATTAAAAAAATACCCCATATCCATTTTATACATAAGGATCTCATCATTTAGTGGATTATAAGTAGTATAATGCTTATAATTATGTCTACTAGCGAAGGGATTTCGCTAATAATTGCATTACAATTGCTAATTGATTCAAGGTATGATTAACTCTTTGTAATATAAAATACATGCTGCCTATTTTATTATGTTCATATATATATATATATATATATATATATATATATATATATATATGAAAGAAATATAGTTTTAAGGTAAGCGATATTTATGAGATAAAGTGCACAATATCAGAGATAGAGCGTTTGTAAAAAAGTGAACAACATTGAAGTCAACAGTCAGAGGTGACAGATTGTTTCATGCAAAACGCAATCATCATACCTGATCATTGCGTCTAGCATGAAACAGTCTGTCAACTCTAATTTTTGAATTCAATGTTAATATTCATATATATATATATATATATATATTAAGCATTTCATGCCAAGCAAGGCGGGAGGCCACTAGGACGCAAGGGGTTACAGAAAATTTAGAGCAAGATCAGATAGGAGTGATAGAAGAAAGGATGAGGGTAGTGGATAGATCAAGGCAACTGGAGATGTCGATTGACATTACACTTGAATAGCTGGAGATTATAAAACAGGAGAAGGGAAGGGAGTTCAACAGGCGAGAGGTGCGAGACATGAAGCTATTAGAGTAGAAGAGACGGCTACATTTAGTAGTTTCGACAGTGAAGGAGATGCCAGCCTCGTAGGGCACTTGAACTCATGAAGTCTGGGAACCAGCGAATGCAGCTCCTCGGAGCAATTGCCATGAAGGTATTTGTAAAACAGACAGAGGGAGGCGACGGCGCGTCTGTGAGAAAGTGACTGTAGACGAGACGCCAGGGCAGAGCCAATCACATTGCATATCCGCCTCTGGAGCCTATCAAGAACCCCGAGGCAAACAGAAGGGGCACCTGACCATATATGGCAGCAATATTCCATGCAAGGGCGAATTGTGGATTTGTAGATCTGGAGGATCGACTCCGGCCAGAAAAAATTCCTAGCGCGGCTCAGGGAACCAACTTTCCTTGCAGTGGACGAGGTATATATATATATAAAGAGTAGATCGAGAATATGTTTGTCATGAAATCAACAAGTATATTTATTTTTTTGTCTGGGGTACAATGTCCCAGAGGACATAACAAAATTGATTCCATTTCTATAAAAAAATTATTAGGTAGTTGTGTTTAAAGGTTTTTTTTCCAATCTGACAGCATTTTCCTTAAATCCTCCCCTACTTTCCTTTACTCTAATAGAAAAACATTCACTTTTTCCCCTTCTTCTTTTTCCCTCATTTCTCTCTCTATAATAATTATTTATAATAGTGCAAAACACAAAAAATTTAACGTCAAGTTAATTTCACTATTTCATTTTTAGTTTTAATATTTATTTTTACTTTTTATTTTTTAAATGTTTTATTATCAGATTGTCTTTATATCTATCTATCTATCTATCTCTCTCTATATATATATACATATATATATAAATTCATAACTGACTATATGATGAATATTTTACTTTTTTCCTGATTCTCTCTCTCTCTCTCTCTCTCTCTCTCTCTCTCTATATATATATATATATATATTGAAAATATATTTTAATTGAATTGAACGACATGCTAATTCTAAAAACAATGGTCACCTGCGTAAATGTGAAGCTCTTCAGTAAAATAAATGGAGCACTTTGGCTGATTGGTGTTTGTTTACGTTTGTAAAAATAATAAACTAGATTTGGCTGACTCATTCTGTCGAGTGAAGTTGTCTCAGTGGTAGAAGCTCTGACTAGCACCAAATCGGTTGGGTTTCGACGAAACGGTACTGGATTCGAATTACATATATATATATATATATACATATGTATATATATATATATATATATATATACATAAATATATATATATATATATATATATATATATATATATATACTAGGGGAAAAATATGACAAATTGAAAAGGCTTTCGTTGCGTCCTTTAAAACTTCATCGGACTAAAGGATGTTCCTTCTGATGCGACTACGCACGCGCACGTAGGAGAGGCGGGCGCAAGGAATTATAATTTTTTTTTTCTTTTAAATCTATGTTTTGGTTATAAAGTCTAATCAATTTCATTTAGTTTATTTTTTTTTTTGTTTATAATGACATCGTTTTTGATATAAAATATGCAACATTGTGATAATAGAAATCTGCCATGAAAGGTGATACACGAAAATTTACTGTGGTCGATGTCGTGATTAAAAGCACTTTCTATACATTTCGTCTTAGTAAATTGCTTTCTCTTGGAATTGTTGTAGCGGGTTTAAATCAAACTAATGACTAGTCGCATTACAGTGAGTTCCTCATACATATATATATATATATATGAATATATATATATATATATATATATATATATATATATATATATATATATATATATATATATATATTTATATATCTGTATTATTTTTATATATATATATATATATATATATATATATTTATATATATATATCATATATATATATATATATATATATATATATATAAAAAGCAGATATATGGATATAGATCCGACAGTATGAAAAAGATATACGGAAAAACAAACAAAAATCCTAATATGCAACATTATATTGACATTATATTAACATTAAAACAGCACAATTGCATATTAGGATTTTTGTTAGTTTTTCCGTATTTTTTCTTCATATATATATATATATATATATATATATATATATATATATATATATATATATATATGAGTTTTCTCATATGTATTCATATATATACACACACACACACATATATATATATGTATGTATTTTCTTATCTATTCATATATATATATATATATATATATATATATGTATGGGTTTTCTCCTATATATTCCTTATATATATATATATATATATATATATATATATATATATATATGTATGAGTTTTCTTTATTTCTTTGTCTATATGTATATATATATTACGTTATATAATTCTGTATAATTGTATATATTAACAAACAGTATTTAGAAAATAGTATGACAACCTGGAAAAATGTATGAGATAGTCAAAGAAAAAGGTGATGGAGAGAAAAAAATTATAAATAAGGAAAACAGATGAATTTGGCTATAATAAAAAAAAAAATATTCTTTCAATGAAATTTCTTTCGAAAATATTCGTTCAAAAATTTTGAAACTCCCGGCATCTCTCCTTTCGTGCGCATGTGTAGACGTGACGACGACATCAACAAATCTCAGTCGGAACGGATAAACGCGTCACAAAAACTTTTATCCAATTTGTCATATATATATATATATATATATAAATTATGTCCTTCTGTTAAGCCTCATCTGAATTCTTCCTTTTATCGATGACGAAATTTTCCAGGGTCAAATGTCATATAGGAGGAGTGATATTATATAATAGTTATATAACAGCACACTTATCTTTGCTTCTAAAAACCGTTTTGTTATTTTGTTTTGCTTTAGAAAGGAATCGTTTGCTTTTACAATAGCCTTTCAAAATTTGGTGTCATATTTTCCAAGCGGTGTTAAGGATTTGTGTTCTATATTTAAATATGGCCGTTTGCTCAATGACAGGAAAAGCTTCTCAAGAGAAATGTTATGTTATGATCAATATATGTTGATTTTTTTTTTTGTATTATCAATGTAACTGTCTTTTAAAGGACAAAATAATTGGTAAACAGCATTGGTGTAATGCCAAATATATGTGATGAGGGTGTCGAATTTGCAAGTATTTTTTTTATTTATTTTGTAAAACTAATAATTTTTCCAGCGATCATTACTCTATGGAGGTGATGCCATGTCTTCACATTAAAAGAAAGAAAGAAAAAATAAACTCAAATAAAAAAGAGAGAAAAGATAGAAGAGGAAAGATAACAAATGATCGACGGTAAAAATGGAAGAAAGAAAAAAAGAAACAAACAAAGAAACAACGATAGAAAGGAGCAAGAAAAAGGATACTGAAAGGAATATATAAAGAAAAACTGAATGAAAGAAACTAGAAAAGAAAAAGATTGTCCAAACGAATAAATAAAAGAATGAATAAAGTAAACAAATGAACAAGAAAGAATGCCATTTTTTTTAAGTGTTAGGTCTCCATGCATTGTTTTGTGTTGCTGTTTTCTTTTTCCATTTCAGTTCGAAAATATTTTTAGTATGTTTGTTTCTAAATCTGATGAACTGTTATTGGGATTAAGTTGTTGATTTTTTTGTTATGATTAATAATTGTAGTATTTGTAGTCGCTTCCTACAATTTAAGATGGAACAGATGAGGTGCCGGAAGAAAGAAACAACGAGGAAAATGAAACAGTAATAAAGGAAAAATATCGAGTGACGTAGAGGTAAAAAGAAAGAAAGAAACACACACACACACGCGCGTGCGCACACACACACGCACAAACACATACACACACATACACAACAAAACAAAAAAAAACAAACAGGCGAAATGAAGACAAAAGAGGAAAATAGCAATTGAAGGACAGTAAAAAAAGAAAGAAAGAAAGAAAGAAAGAAAGAAAGAAAGAAAGAATAAATGAATGAATAAATGAATGAATGAATGAAGCAAAAAAAAGAAACACATAAAAAAGTCAAAGAGAAGAAAAAAGACAGAAGAGGGGGAAATAAAATATGAAGGGCAGCAGAAAAGAAAGAAAAAATAAATAAATAAATAAAGAATGAATGAATGAAAGAAATTAACAAAATAAACACGCATAAAGGAGTCAAAAAGAAGAAAAAAGACAGAAGAGGGGGAAATAAAATATGAAGGGCAGCAGAAAGAAAGAAAAAAAAAAAAATAAATAAATAAAGAATGAATGAATGAAAAAATTAACAAAATAAACACGCATAAAGGAGTCAAAAGAAGAAAAAAAGACAGAAGAGGGGAAATAAAATATGAAGGGCAGCAGAAAAGAAAAGAAAAATAAATAAATAAATAAAGAATGAATGAATGAAAGAAATTAACAAAATAAACACGCATAAAGGAGTCAAAAAGAAGAAAAAAGACAGAAGAGGGGGAAATAAAATATGAAGGGCAAAGAAAAGAAAAAAAAAAAAAAATAAATAAAGAATGAATGAATGAAAGAAATTAACAAAATAAACACGCATAAAGGAGTCAAAAAGAAGAAAAAAGACAGAAGAGGGGGAAATAAAATATGAAGGGCAGCAGAAAAGAAAGAAAAAATAAATAAATAAATAAAGAAATGAATGAATGAAAAAATTAACAAAATAAACACGCATAAAGGAGTCAAAAAGAGAAAAAAAAGACAGAAGAGGGGAAATAAAATATGAAGGGCAGCAGAAAAGAAAGAAAAAATAAATAAATAAATAAAGAATGAATGAATGAAAGAAATTAACAAAATAAACACGCATAAAGGAGTCAAAAAGAAGAAAAAAGACAGAAGAGGGGGAAATAAAATATGAAGGGCAGCAGAAAAGAAAGAAAAAATAAATAAATAAATAAAGAATGAATGAATGAAAGAAATTAACAAAATAAACACATAAAAGGAGTCAAAAGGAGAAAAAAAAAGAAGAGAGGGAAATAAAATATGAAGGGCAGCAGAAAAGAAAGAAAAAAAATAAATAAATAAATAAAGAATGAATGAATGAAAGAAATTAACAAAATAAACACGCATAAAGAGTCAAAAAGAAGAAAAAAGACAGAAGAGGGGGAATAAAATATGAAGGCAGCAGAAAGAAAGAAAAAATAAATAAATAAATAAAGAATGAATGAATGAAAGAAATTAACAAAATAAACACGCATAAAGGAGTCAAAAAGAAGAAAAAAGACAGAAGAGGGGGAAATAAAATATGAAGGGCAGCAGAAAAGAAAGAATAAATAAATAAATAAATAAAGAATGAATGAATGAAAGAAATTAAAAAAATAAACACGCATAAAGGAGTCAAAAAAAAGAAAAAAAGAGAAGAGGGGGGAAATAAAATATGAAGGGCAGCAGAAAAGAAAGAATAAAAAAATAAATAAATAAAAGAATGAATGAATGAAAAAATTAACAAAATAAACACGCATAAAGGAGTCAAAAAGAAGAAAAAAGACAGAAGAGGGGGAAATAAAATATGAAGGGCAGCAGAAAAGAAAGAATAAATAAATAAATAAATAAAGAATGAATGAATGAAAGAAATTAACAAAATAAACACGCATAAAGGAGTCAAAAAGAAGAAAAAAGACAGAAGAGGGGGAAATAAAATATGAAGGGCAGCAGAAAAGAAAGAAAAATAAATAAATAAATAAAGAATGAATGAATGAAAGAAATTAACAAAATAAACACGCATAAAGGAGTCAAAAAGGAAGAAAAAAACAGAAGAGGGGGGAAATAAAATATGAAGGGCAGCAGAAAGAAAAGAAAAAATAAATAAATAAATAAAGAATGAATGAATGAAAGAAATTAACAAAATAAACACCCATAAACCAAAAGAAGAAAAAAGAAGAAAAAATACAATAGAGGAGAAATAAAAAAAATGAATAAATAAATAAAAAGAAAGAAAGAAAAGAAAAAAAAACAAAGAAAGTCAAAAAAAGAAAAAGAAAGAAAGAAAGAAATAAGAAGGGTAACACACAAAAAAGAAATAAGCAAAAAAAATGAAAAGACAGAAAAATGAAAAGAATAAAAGGAAAAATAACAAATGAAGGATACTAGAAAAGAATGAATTAATTAAAGAATGAATGAAATAAAAGAAAGAAAAAAAAATAGGTAAAATGAAAGAAAGAAAAATAAACAAAGAGTTCAAAAAAAGGTAAAAATACCGAAAATATATAAAACAAATAACAGGCAATAGAAAATAAAAAGAGAAAGATACGACAAACAAGAAGAGAGAAAAAAGACTGTATAAAGAAAACTAAGGAATGAAAGACAGTAGAAAAGAAAGAAATGAAAAATGAATGAAGCAAACAAACCAAGAGACAAGAAATAATTTAGCAACAAAAAAAAAAGTGAATGAAAAACTTCATAAAACACAAATTAAGAAATGAGAAACAAACCAGACAAGATACAAAACTAAATGTATCAAAATAGACCAAAAAACAGAATAAACAACAGCGCAAAAGAAAGAAAGGAAGTAAAATAGAGAAACGTATATGAGCGAATTAATGGACGGAAGGAAAAATGGAATAACCGATAAATAAAAGGAAAATATAAAAACGAACACAAAAGATAGGAAAGAGGAAAACAGAAATAAACAAGGACGAAACAAAGATCAAAAGCAAATAAATGAACCAAAAGGAAGCGGGAAAAAGAAGTGAAGTGAAAGATCGAAACGGAAACAATGAAAAGAAAAGAGAAAACTGAAAATAGCACAAAAGAAATAAGGGAAAAATGTGGTTGAAAACAAAGAAAAACTAGACATAATTAAAACAGGATCGAAAGGAAGGGCGGAAAAAAAACAGATGCCTGCATAAATTAAATGCAAACGTTTTTTTTCTTTTCTTTCTTTAATTTTTAATGTGTAACAATTTTCTTTATCCCCTCAATTATATATTTCGATTATTTTTTATATCTTTCGTTCTTTGATTCTAGTTTTGTTGTCCACACACACACACACACACACACACACACACACACACACACACACACACACACACACACAGTGACAAGGGATTTTTTGTCGCCATCTTCGACAATTCAACGAAAAAAAAAACAAACTTTGTTTCGGTCATTTTTGAATGCCTCAGACAATCGTGTACAAAATGGCGACCGAGAGAAAAATAGCAGTAGTTCGTAAAGAAAGAAAAAATAAATATAAATAATTTATTTAAAAACACACACAGAAAAGAAGAAAAGTGATGGCGTCTAGGATCGACTAATCGTTTGTCGTCGGCCGGCTGCTTCCAAGAATAGAGGATTTAAGAATCGATGTTTAGCACTTTGTGAAAATTCGCATTCTTCAAGAATAAAGTCGATCTGAAAGAATAAATGAAAGAGATGCTTTTGCAGATGCTTTTTTGTTATTTTTTTTTATTTGTTTTGTGTGTGTGTGTCGCCGAGCACGATTTTGCTTGTTTGGAATCAATTATGTTAATGCGCTCATTTATAAAGTGATACGATAGAACGCGTTTGATCCAAGGTCATGGAGATAGAGCTTTCTGTAAACTTCACAATCAATATAAAGAATTTAAACGATAAAATCTAAAAATATACCACTAGATTTCTGTCACGCATTCAGTCGTCTGTTACTATATTAATTACAAGTTTCTTTTTATACGTGATTCTTTTTCACATCCCCAATACGTATCTAACACATTGTTCAGTCTCTTTTGCTGACAGCTATGGCGTCTGTCTTCTCACAGTTAATGTTTACTGCGGTAATTGCCTATTTAGCATAGAGACTATGTAAGTGCTCAAGTAGTAAGCGGGTAATATATGTGAGATTAACGACTATTAAGAAAATATGAAGAAAATCACATTTCTTGCCTTTTTACTGCCTTGTCCTAAGAAATATTTCGGTTTTCTTGGAAGATTGATATTTGCCTAGTTTTCCACGCTATACGAAATGACGTAAAGTGAAGAGAATCAACACATTAGTTTTGGTGGTGAAAACGTTTTGAGCGTTCATGAAAAGTTTACCGAATGGGATTACAGACATATTAAGACGTCCGAAGACTTCAAGTGTCGAAATCTAAGTATAAAAGCCAAGATGGGTATATTAGTCCGAATTGCGAAGCATATGATAATAATGTCGATGATTAAAACATTCGTACTTTCTTTTTACCTCAGAGGACTGAAGGATTCGGCAGCAAATGAGATATATCTAAGTATTTTTATTTCCTTTCGCTTAGCGAGGAAAACTATAAAATCACCTGTTCCTTGTTTGCCACTGATTAGGTTTCTGGTTCCTTCAAAAATTCCTTATAGCATACCTACGGACGATAATATTGTATGCCCTCGTTCTCATAAATACACTGGTGAATTCTGTACGTAGACGAGAGTTGAATATTCATTGTGGAATTCACTCCTGACTCCTAGCAGTTGACTACTACTTCTACGCGCCGCTGGCGAATCTTATATGCGTATTATCGTTCATTACTAACCTTCGTTTGATTATTCTATTCAGTAACCTTCCCTAGGTGGCAACAATTCTCTTTTACTGTCAATATCTTTTTATGTCATAGTGACATTATCGCCTTGCTTGGGATGAATTGATTTAAAAAATCAGATCAGAGACGATGTATGTATAAATAAACAAATAAATAATACAAAATTGCATTGTAAGCGTGTCTCGTTTTCCCAAAGAAAATATTTTTTAAGTGCTGAGAAAAATCTTATTTCACACACACCTTTCTTTTCATTTGCTTGTCTTTTATTTTCTCTAGTTTCGACCTGGATAATGATAGGAGTGTGTTCAGGCATATTCAAGATATGATGGATCAATTGGTATCGATGAACGTCGCCAATTATTTGTTACGTTAATAAACTATTTACAGTTCTAATAATAATACTAATCATCACTGAAGTTATTACATATTCACTGAAAGTATTACATATCTCCTACCAAAACGGGTGAAACATGATCCAAAAAATTATAAGCCAATAATATGTCTGTCCATCGCATACAATTCAATCACGTCTATCCTGACGAACTATGCTTACTCAACGAAAGCAAAATTCTTCCGTTGGAACAGAAAGGATGTCGGTGAGGTTCATATTGTTGCAACGGTCAACTACGAATAAATAAAATGGCCCTGGAAAATTGCAAGATAAATCTCAGCACAGTTTCGGTAGATTACCGTAAAGCCTTTGACCGTGTACCACACTCTTAGATCTTTAAGGATTGGGAAATGTACAAAGTCTCCTCAATGATAGTAAATTTCCTTAAATATAGAATGGGACTGTAGAAAACCACATTATATCTAAATCGCACCAAAGGTCCTGCCACTTCCAATTGTTTGAATATCCGACGAGGAAACTTTCAAGGAGAGACCGCGTCGCCCCTTCTGTTCTGTTTGTCCTTAATCCCTTTTTTTTTGTTGAACTAAACGGTAATAACTATGGATAAGTAAAAAGGAAAGGGTTTAAACACCTATTCTAGAGGATTGATATCTACCTATTTGACAAAGATGACAATGAGTTGAAGGATATTCTTAATACTGTAAAGTGTTTCAATGATGACATCTGAATAGACTTAGGATTAGATAAATGTGCAAAAGTAACATTCGGGAAAGGAAGAATTAACTCTCAAGAGATCTAGATTTTGTCACAAAGGTTAGGGAACTGGAACAAGAAAAAGCCTATAAATACCTAAGTGTCAGTGAAGGGGGTGGAATACAGCATACCTAAATGAGCGAGAAAGTAAGTAAAGAATACTAATGTTAAATATCTAGTTGAATTCACAAAACAAAATATTATGCATCAAATTACTAGCCGGGTGTCCGGTGACTAAACATGTCTTCTGTGTGTGTGTGTGTTTGTGTGCGTGTGTGTGTTAAAAGTGAAATAAAATTGTGTTATATTAGATTTGGAATAATAATAACGCTAGTAATATTATGGGAGTTAAAAGAACAAATCATGAAATGTAGCCATAAGAACACACCAATACCTGCCTTAGGTCTTCCCGCAGACTTGGTAGGTAGTGAGACCATAGCAGAAATCGAAAGATGACGATGATGATGATGATGATGATGATGTACAAAATCTTCTCTGTTATGTCTGTCCTTAATCCCCCTTTCGTATGAACTAATCAGTAATAAATATGGATACAAAGTAAACAAGAAAGTGTTTCATCACCTATTGTACATGGATGATATCGAAATATTTGCCCAAGATGACAATGAGTGAAAGGTGTATCCTAAATGATGTAAAATATTTCCGTGATAACATCGGTATAGATTTCGGATTAGATACATAGGCATTCAAGAAAGAAAGAAATACATCAACACATTCAACAGATTTAGATTTTGTCTCAAATATTTGGGAACAAGAAGAAGCCATTAAATACAGAGGAATCAGGGAAGAGGACAGAATACAGTATACCCAAATGAGGGAGAAAGTAAGAAAAGAATACTACAGGCATGTCCGTCTAGTGTTAAATCTTTTTTTCTTTTATGTGCCTTATCCCATCAGAACGCAGGAGATCATGGCTCTCCACATCTTCATGTCCCTTGCAGTTCTAAATAAGTTTTGTCTTTTAGTTATTTCTTCCAAACACTGGTCTACCACGCATTTGCTCACACTCATCAAGTATGTTAGATGCTGTTTTTTTTTCTGTGTTTCTTTCTCTCAATCTATCCTGTGCGTATCAGATTTTCTAAGCCCTCTTTCCTCATTACGTGCCCCAGAAATTTCAACTGCCTCCTCCCGATGCTAAATATAACTTTCCTTTTTGTTTTCATTTTCTCTAAAACAGCTGAATTCACAAAACAGAATGTCAGCCACAAACATTTTGGCTGTTCTTGTGTTGCATTGCATTTTCAATGCAATTTCAATACCCTTAACTGGATCATAGCTGACATTAAGCGAATTGATATCAAAACGACAAAGCTTCTCACTTGTAAGCGCATGCGTCATCCTGAAGCTAATTTTGCTCGTTTGTATGTGTTCAGATAAGAACGAAGCAGAAGATTAGTTCAACTAGAAATGTCATACAAAACCACAACAATCGGTAATCAAAGATACCTGCAACTAAAGATTGGATGATGGTCCTTGACAAGGAACATGGCAGAAAGGGGAAACTTTATTCAGTAATAAAGGAAGCCAACTATTTCAAGTAAATGAAGAATTGCAAATAGACTATAATGAACTTACTGCAGCGGCAAAGAACCTAAAAAAGAAAGCAAATGCGATGTACTAAATGCAGAAACAATGACAAGATAAAACTCTTCATGGTCAATACTCAGATGCTAACAAACAAGCTGATGTAAACAAACCTTGTACCCATCAGTGGTTACGTAGTGTAGGGTTAAAAGCTGAAACCTAAGGTTTTATTCTTGCTACACAGGAACAATACTTGTTAACTAGAAATTCCTAAGCAGACATGCTAAAAATTGCGTTAACCCGAAATGCAGATTTTGTGATAAATATCCAGAAATAATTGACCAGGTTCTATAAGGTTTCACAGTGTTAGCACCAACTGACTATATAACTCGGCATGATAGAGTGGGACAATAACTGCACTGGATAATATACAACTTTTATGGGAAGGAATCTACAAGCAACTGGTATGAGCATCACCCCGACCCGGTTACAGAGATAGGACCTGTACCAATTTTATAGGAATTTACAATACACACAGACAGAACAATAAAAGCTAATTGCTCAGACATCGTGATCAAAGACCACAAAAACAGAATGTACCTTCTTATTGGGATGACAGTCCTTGTTGATTTTAATGTATGTTGGAAGATCTTCAAAAAATAGCAAAATACAAGGATCTTTAAGTGGAAATATCAATATAATGGTACACAAGGACATCAGTAATTCCAGTTGTAGTTGGATCCCTCGGATTAATTGGAAATGGTTCCGATAGATACAATGAAGGGATCCCTAGTAGATCGTGCTTTAAACTAATACAAAAAATGTACTCACAAGTACAACTCACATATTACGAAGAGCTTTATCTATGTAATTTTCTTTTACAAAAGGCTCAGTGGAAAATGTCATGAGGCCATCACTGACCTTAGGTCTCTGGTTGGGACCCGGAATGAAATGTGTATACAACAGAAATCCAAGGAAATAATAATAAAAATAATAAAGAATTTAAGAAAAGAAAAGACACATGATTCATCAATAGTATGATAGTCGGATTGATATTATAGAACAGTTCAGTATTCTTACCTTCGCTACTAAAGAAACCTCTTAGTTTCTTTCTACTTTGTTTTCCGTTAGAAAGGAATCGTTCGTTTTTCCAATGCACCTCCAAATTTCGATGTCACATTTTCCAAGCGGCGCTATGGATTTGTGTTATATGTTTAGATACGGTACTTTGCTCGGAGAGGTTTCGTTATAAACAAAGATAAGAGTGATAAACAGTTATATAATATACACGAAAAAATACATCTTCTTATTTACAAAAAAAATGTTTATAACGTTTATGTATTTTTTTTTTAAATATTTTTATAACTGTATGCAATTTGTAAACATATGAAGAAGACAGACATACTGACGAAATATTGTTAAACACTGTACGTTTTCTATAATTTTATCTTTTCTTAAATTCTACCCTTTTTTAAGTGTTAATGGCTTATGGGTATATCACGTTGAAACACCAGTACCCATACGATCAGCGAAGTTAAGCAACGTCGAGTCTTGTTAATACCAAGATAGGTGACAACTTGAGAATAACAGATGCTGCAAGCTTGAATGTGTTGGTGGTGCAAAGAATATTGGTTCGGAATTGTTAATCGGAGAGCCGAGTTCCAATTACAGTTGGGTTCGTTACATTGACCTAAGCAGCTATACCGCTAGGAAAGGTATGAATCCATCAATTCTCACCTCAGCTCTAGGTTAATTAGTAAGACTTTTATCACTAAAACCATTATTATCTCCGAAAAGTAAAATAAATTAAAAATGCTTACAAAATTTTTAGTTTTCGGCATTAAATGATCCGCAGAGGTTGATATGACGCTATAATAAAAACAACCAATCAACTAAGTGTTAATAATAATAATAATATTTAAGAAATATGTTTTTATTATGAACTTGAGCTAGGCAGAACTAATCGTAGAAGTTAAAATGATAGCCTACGCTATTGCGCGTTGAATATAAAATTAGATTACTGGTTCGTGAAATGTACATATAAAACGAAGACTGGATTCTTTAGCCATTATTTTATGAGATTTGCGATTGTTGTAATTGGTATCGAATCGAAATGAAAAATCGGTGACGGAAGTTCGAACTTCAGTCGAGTTCGTTATGTTCAAATTCTCTTACGAAAGATATGAATCCACTTCTCCCACAGCTATTGATTAAATAGTAGAACAGACTAGGCTCTTCATTTCAGCCTTGGTTGGCAGCAAGAGTAGCAGAAAAACAACAGTTAATTCTAAGCCGTATGCAGTCGTGACGCAACAACGTATTATGCCGTTATGGAAATGATGGGGCAGTTTATATGCCGTCAAATATGACACATTGTAAATTATACGATTTAATGCATGCTTGTCGAGCTTGAGAATGAGTATAACTGCATTTCCTGTTATTTCCTGTTTAGGTAAGTTAGACATGAGAAAGCAGTTCGTCCATGTACCTCTTCAGAGTGTTCTCTCTTAATATGTTACTTCAGTGCCAATATATTTCTTTTTATAACATCTGAAACTGAGGCTGGGTGCAGGGATGCAGTTTTATATTTCTTCCAGAGTCATTAGTGCAAAGCAAATACAAACAGCCTATGCCAAGATTGGAACATGTTTCGCAAATTGCTAATAAAAAATAATAGTAAGCTTTCTTCAATATTAAATGTAATACTAATAATAAAATAAAAATACAGGCAAACCTCTCATCTACAGACCCACCCCCTCCAATCAACGGACTTCGGATGCAACGTACAAAATATGCAGGCAAAATACAAAAAAAAGCTGCATGAAAAAAAAAAAAATTCAAATCGCCAGCGATGTATTTCAAAATTTGTGGGCTTAGGGGAACAAGTTGCATTAGTTCTCAAAGTGACCGCTTGGTGGCGATGGCGGGCGTTTCAATTGTAAACAAAGACGGGTGTACAGTATATAAAGTACGATACATTAGTTCTTGCGCTAGAAAGTAACTGTGAGAAATCTATTATTTTTGTTGTTTTGTTTAATATATCTATATTAAGTATATATTTATTTATGCTATATATACGTGTTTATAGCATTTACATTATGATCATAACTAATAGCAGGTACTATAGTGGTTTTATAACAACAAAAATAATCCCTTCCTTTCTACGGACATTCAGCTTTAACCAACCTTTTCCCCTGATTAGAGGTTTGTCTGTAATATTTAATATGAAACGAATAATAAAATAATAATGATAAAACAATAATAAAATTAAATGTAAAACTCACAATAAATTAAAATAATAATAAATGTAAAACTAACAATAAAATAATATTTAGTGTAAAACTAATAAGAATAATAAAATAATAAAAATATTTAATGTGATCCAATACTAAAACAATAATAATAGTTAATATAATATTAACAAAAATATTAATGAAATAATAATATTAAATATAAAACTACAACTACTACTACTACTACTAATAATAATAATAATAATAATGATAATAATAGCGGAAATTTAGATGTAAATAACAATAGCAAAAACAATATAACAAAAATAACAAAAACAAAATAATTGTGAAAATGCGTAACTATAAAAGAAACTAAAATATGATGGTTTCAAATCAGTAATAAAACAATAGTTAACATTTTTCATCTGTTTAAGGCTCTCACAATGTATTATATTTTATAGTGCTTTAGAAATTTGGCCTTTTTTTTATCTGTCCTAAGCCATTTTCCATCAACCATTTATTCAAAGTAGGATGTGCGTTGTTTTCTACTGTCCCTTTGCCGTCAATCAATCCTGTGAGTATCACATTTTCCAATTCCTCATGCCTTATTTTGTGCCCTAGAAATTTAAAGCCTCTAAAAGTTTGCAACAATAAATTTGAGTAAAATTAGTAACATACTATGAGTAACAGTCAAAATAATTCCTGCTAAAAGCAACAAGAGTTTTGAGTAAAACAAATAATAAATCAATTGTACTAAAACTGATCCATCTGAAAATTTTCCACGTATAAATCCTCATTATTTATTGCATTTTTCATTAAATTACATATAATACTTTGTCATTCATGACCCATCCATCGCTTCTTACATTTCTTCCGATATTCTGTCTTTCATTCTTTGCTTATTCTTATTGCTCCATTTTTATTCTTCCAATTTTTCTATCTTTCATTTCTTTTCATTCCTTCATTATCGCGCCATTTTTATTCAGGTGGTTTATTAACAACTTTTTTATCGATAGCATGCAACAATGTCCGTTTAATGCATTTTTTTTTTAATTCTTCGTCAAAAGCCAGTCAGACATTCTTTTCTCTCGATAATCTTTTTCATTTCATCGGCTCAATTCATCCCAGAACATTTTGGGCACCATCCTTTCTTTTGAAACTCTTCACCAAAAAATGGACCCATTCATTCGGCGATTCTGCCATTATTTGAATGTTTTCTTCAAATGTAAAATATTTCTACTCTCCATCTTGAACCTAAAAGTTTATTGATTACGCGCTCAAATCTAAAAATACATACACCTTCACACTCAAACACACACACACACATACATATACACACATGCATATGTCTGGCTCTCTCCCTTTTTCTCTTGATATATATATATATATATATATATATATATATATATATATATATAAAAAATACCAATTGGTAATTGCGAGGAGAGATAATAGCAAGGAGGACATTAATCCAAACGCAGCTGAATGTAAGTAACAGAGCAATATAATAATAATAATAATAACAATAATAATAATAACAATAATAATAATAATAATATATATAATAATATATATATATATATATATATATATAATATATATATATATATATAAGTAACAGAATAATAATAATAATAATAATAATATAATAATAGCAATTATAATAATAATATAACAATAATTATATATATATATATATAACGACAAATATATTCATATTTTTCTTTTACACATAATTTATCTGAAATTTTAAAAACAAATACACATATATATATATATATATATATATATATATATATATATATATATATATATATATATACATAGCTTTGTGTGCTTGAATAGAGTTTTTATCTGACATGTTCGATTGCTATCAATGGCAGAATCTTTCCTTAATAGGACTTCTCAATCTATGCTGGTTGTTATTGATTAAGAAAAAAATCCTGGATAGCATCTCAAACACGTTTGCACGCTATAAAATAACGTTTATAGCAATAAGAAGTAATGCCGGAAAAAAAAAACAATCCAGTAAAAATGACTGTTGATCAGGTTTCGGGTAAGAAACTAAAGAAAGCAGATATACATTCGTATAGGTCTCAACGAGAAATGTGCACTCCTTAAATTAGTATTTCAAAACTTGCCCTGTCATTGCTGCCTCCGTGACCGAATTGATAAAAGCACGTTTCAGATATAGAAACGGTTTCCGTAACGGAAACGGAGATACGCATTCGATTCGTGTCACTGGGGAGAATCTTTCTTTGCTAAAACTTCTAAAACTAAAACCGGTTGCTATTAATTTAATTGTTTAAAAAATGTAATAGCAACTCATTTATGTGTACCCAATAAAAATAACGTTATAATAATAATAATAATAATTATATATATATATATAAAGAAAGAACAGTAAGATATATAATCCGGTGTTCTTATAGGCATTTTTATTTTTTACAAAATAGTGCTCGATGTAAATTTACAGAGCATTAATATTATAAATTAATTTATTTAAAATATGTTTTTTCCGCTACACAGTTCTAACCATGTTTCAAAATTTTTGATACATGGTGTAGCGGAAAAAAACATATTTTAAATAAATTAATTTATATATATATATATATATATATATATATATATATATATATATATGTGTGTGTGTGTGTGTGTGTGTGTGTGTGTGTGTGTGTATTAAAAAGAAGAAGAAACCGCAAACGTTTTTTGTTGTAATATGGATTTTTTTAGAAAATATATTACGCTTTATTTTCTATAATTTTTCCACACGTGTTTCACGTCTCGCGACCATCATCATGTCAAGACTGGATATTTCCACATAAATTATTTCTTATTATGGTTTACAATGTTAAATATTCTAGATACTAGACATTCTCTTTTTTGTTTGACCCAGTGACCCAAATGTCTTCCTTGAACTGGCAGTGAAAAAGTTCTGCGTGAAACAATTAAGACTGGTCCGAGAAAGGGCGAGAAAGATATCTATATTCTTATCTTTTAATGACCCCTTTGTGTTCTTTGATCTATTTCCATTTTTTATCAATAACAGAAATATTGAATTATCATTAAACGCTGGCCACTCATACGTAAAATAGGGAGTTACTTTTCAATCACCATATATATATATATATATATATATATATATATATATATATATATATATATATCTTTATTACTATAAAAGTTATTTTATTGGGTACACGTATTTGTGTTTCTATCACATTTCTACATATAACGAATGTTTCATACACAAATGTACATTCAAAAACAGATACACACATACACACACACACACATATGCAAATATATATATATTGATACCTGCACCAATAATGTTGAGAAGATTATAAAGAGATACAATAAT